TTGGTTTGACGGGAGGAAATATTCTTGTGAAAGCTCTTCGTGAAAACAACAGATTAGAAATATTAAATCTTTATAGTAGTAGGTTTAAGCCTCATGAAGAAAAATTATTGAAAAAAGCTAGCAGAAAGATTATTACTTTTAAATTCGAAGTTTAGCCATATTCTGTACGTACTTTCAATTTCATTTGGTTTGCTGATATTATGATAAAAATTGATTGTAATTCAATTGATTCAATATATATATATATATTGCTCAACTACGTTTCATAATTACTATTTATTCGCCTTCTATATTGTGCTGTTTACAGTGGAGTTATTCTTTATAAAAATGTATTTTGAGGGAGAATTTAATCTTTATAAGCACATTTTTCGAAGCAATTCTTATATCCTTAGTATAGTTGTAGAAACTTGGTGACACATTGATACGTAAAATTAGTATGTCATCACGCCAAAGTGTCTTAGAGAAAAGTGTCTTAGAGACACTTGGTTTGTGTTTGCTGTAACTATAATTAAATATCAAGCGTCTCTAAACATAACCGAAAAAATCATTTGTGGGATAAATATAGCTAATATCATATTTTTTTTTTGAACTTGATATTATTCGTTGAAATGGTGCTTTAGTTATATTGTTTAATCCTTGCCATAAATTTTGATCATTTTTATGACTTACGGTTTACAAAAACGTTGTTTAAATAAAAAATATACTTACATATATATTTTAATGATTTAAATTCTATAAAACGAAAACCGTAATTCTTCATGTTTGAAAAATTAGCCTGACTTGCAGTATTTATAATAATTGAAATAACTCACTCCTGCATTTATACTTTTTACAGAATTTCACATGAGTATAAATGTTAGTCAATTAAATCTATTTTGATTATTAATAATAACGTATATTCTTTGCAATCTGTAAACCATTTGTTCTTTCATAATAAATTTTTTAAAATTTATTCAAAGATTATGTAAAACTGCGAAACTTTTTACAAAAATAATAAATATCAGAAATTTGTTCAAATAATCAGGAATTGGATTAACTAAAAGATTATGTAGCTTAGTAAATTGTTATTTGATTTTGGTATAAATGTCGATGTGTCATTAAGAATTAATTGTTAATTTAATTAGACTTATTAGTAGGCATTTGTTTAAATCTAATAAATTAATTCATAACAGGTGAAACTTGCGCTATGTATTTCATTTCATACAGTCCTATTAAATTTATTTAGAGAATCATGTTTCAATTTATGTCCGTTCAACACTAAGTTTATTACATACTATTTGAATTTAATCATGGTTTGAAACTGATAAAGAAGCAGCAAAATGTATAATTAAATCAATAATACATCTAAAAAAAACTATAAAAAACTATGACATATGACCATAAAAAAACTTTAATCGTTAATTTCCTCAATTTTAGATGTTTCAGATAAAAGGTATGACACCTCTCCTTCTGTAATGAGATTTTGTTTGACTGCGGCTACAAGCACTTGTTTGAGGTCTTGATCATTATTGAATTGAAGATTTTTAATTAGTGTCTTTGAATAATCTAAAATTTCTTTAGGGCTCATATAACTCTAAATAGATATGTCATACAAGTTAGTATAGCGAAAAGGCTTAAAATCAATCAATAATATAAATAAATGTACTTGAAGATTTATTTTAATTGATTCTTTAATAGCCTCTTTGATGTCACTTGGTAATCTTTCATATTTTTCATCATTGATTTGATGTAAAAGAATGAAAAGTATCTGATAAATGTTGATATTCTTTTGAATAAGATCATTAACCATCCCCAGATAGGTTTGTAAAATATCTTTCCCATTTTGTTGTTTTGATTTTTGTATTTGCATTATTAATTCAGAAATTTTGTGTTGATGTTCCATAATAGCTTTTCCTTTTTCTAATTCATGCTTATTTTTTGCTACATCAATTTCGATTTCAATTTTTATTTTATTTTATCTATTTATTACTTTAGTAAAGAATTTTCGGACTAATCCGAAACCACCTGATAAGATCATG